CATTCAGCAAATCAGTTTGTAAGCACAATGTATCTTGATCAATATCATCCCTCTCATCACTCTCCCCCATCCCTCTCAACATGAAGCTTTTCTTCAGTTTTTCTAATTTCATAGGATGTGTATTGAATAGTGACTGAATTTTCTCCTTCTCCCTCTCTTCATGTTTGAAAACAGTTGCTTGCTTGTTGTTGTTGTTTCAGTACTGTCATTTGAACTCAAAGCCCCTTGCTTTGCTAGGCAGGTGTTCTACCACTGCCTTATACCTCCAGTGCTTTGGTATGCTGCTTACTTTTTTTAGGTAGGATCTTGCTTTTCACTCATGTGTACACCTGAACCTCTATCTGTCTATGTTAGGCTTCTCATTGTGACTGGGAACCACACATATATGCCACTATACCGAGCTTCTTTCTGTTGAGATGGAATCCCTCCAACTTTTCTGTCTGGGCTAGCCTGGAACGGTGATCCACTAGTCAACCTCTCACACACCTGAGATGACAATTGTGCTTCACTGCACGTAGGTAGTGGTTGGGAAGGCATATCCCATATGGGTAATCAGGCTGTCTCAAATTGTGATCCTTCTGATCTCAGCCTCCCAAATAGCTAGCATTACAGGTGTGAGCCACCCAGCTTTATAACAACTGTTTTAAATCCAAATCAACCTCTTCATCTTTGAGTTATTACAATTGTCTCCCTAGTGACTTTCCTGCTTGCACCCTAATCCTCCTAGGGGATCTTTGTTGAAGATACATCAAATCTGTCTCTCCTCAAAGCCCTCCACAGGTCTTGCATTTTGTTCAGTGTGAACACCTGCATCCTTCCACTGGCCTACAAAGTCCTACCCAACTTGTTTTTCTCAGACCCCCATCTGAAGATCGCTGTTCCCTCTTTGTGCAAACAGCCCCAACCATGCTGGTGATCTTGCTATCCCCACTTCCACAGTCATGAAGAACAACTTGGCAGTGTTTTCTGATTGGCAGGCTAGCCTCTCAGCATGACTCATACTAGTTCCCTTCTAGCTTGTGATTCCCTTTCACCTTTTAAATAAGGCCTTTCCTTCCCCACTCAATGCAAATCCAAACACTTCAACCTCCTAACCTATTTAACTTTTCTCTGTCCATATGTCAACATCTACTACATTATTTCTTGGCTGGTTTGTTTATGGTAATACTGCATGTTTGAAATCTTGGCCCCACATTTGCACCATGTGCTTTTCCACTTGAGCATCTTCCTAGCTCTTATTTTGCTTTAGTTCTTTTTTAAAATAGGGCATGTGTTCTTACACAGTCTGATCTGGACCACCATCTATTCATTCCTCCTAGATAGCTGGGATGATAGACATGGGCTAGGCCACATCCAGCCTTTATTTGTTGAGATGGAGTCTCATAAACTTCTTTTTCTGGTCTCTGACTGCAATCTCAACTCCACCTACTATCTAGTGGGATTACAGTCATGTGCTGGCATATGTGGTTCTTGGTCTTTCTTGACACTGCAAGTACACAACTGAAGACCTAAGAATTGTAGCTGAATGCCCACTCTCTGGATTCTATATGGTCTTACTCTGCACTTCTCTATGATCATCCTCTGCCCTCACCCAAATTCGACAGATTGGGTCATATCACTTCAGTCCTTTCATGGCAATGGACTGACTGAATTTTACCTGATCATCTTAGGTATTTGCACACAAGTAGGCTGCAAGCTCTAGGGAACTTATGCTGATTTGCAGTTATAGTCTACTTAATTATTGGTATATAGTTATTTCTTTCTCTGTATGCCCACTATTTAGTAAGAGAAGTAAAAAGCAGCATTTGTGATTCTAGTTTTCATCTAATAAAAGCTGTATTGATGGAGACTATGGCAATAGTCATTTTCAAGTCATATTTAATCTCCATCAATGACTTTCTAGCATCTATTAGCAATTTTGGATCCTCAAAGTATATTTGACTCTTCTTTTATCCATATTATATCAAAGCTGTAATTATAATAATCACAGGGTGAAAGACAAATAGAAAGGTCATCTCATACATCTGCTAGCAGAACCTATATCTAAATCATGCTTTCATGACACACAGTAATTTTCTTTATATATAGATTACTTGAAAATCAGAGCCAAAAGGAGGTTTTCATTTTTTAACATTTGCCCCATAACCCAATTTTAAATTAACTTGAGATTACTGTAAGTAGTTCATTAGTTTATAATAGTATTTTCCAGTTTTGCTTCTGAAAAGTAGAATTAGAAAAAAAAAAAGGCTTAGAGGAGATTGAAACGAGTTGAGAGTAGAAGGTATCAGACAAAGGAAATCAAGAAACAATGTAAAGTGTAACTTTTTTACCCTTTGTCTTTTTAAAAAAAATTTCTAAGGGAACTGAGATGGTCCTTTTCTCGAGGTATTCATCACTTAAACACAAAATTACAAAAAACTCAGGAATGATTAAGAGATATATAGGCAAACTATAGGGTAGCTCTGGAAAAAATAAATCCAGTCACTCAAAATTGAAATGTTTTCTCTCTTAACATTTTAATGATAATAAAAGCACACAATGATAAAAATTTAGTCTACATAGATAGGTCTGAGAAAAGGGAAAATCTGCCTATATTCTTGCCACATCAAGTGCTTTACAGACTGATTTAAAAAATCTTTTTAGCAACTTTCCAGAAAAAAATTCAAGTGCAGCTCCCTCTCCCTGTATAGCATATGAATGTGTGACAGTATAGGTGGTATGGGAGAGAGAATACATTTTAAATTTTATTCCAAAGGAAAAATGGTATCTTCTGTATGACAATTGCTTGTTTTACCTTTAAATGTACTTTAAAGACCTTTCTATATATTCAATAGTCATGCAAGACCCATGAGAAGGAGATCTTGTCTTTTTAAGTGCTGGACCTGCACAAATGTCTGAATGCACTCTTCTTCCTTCAACTAAAATTTCTTAGACAAATGAATGGGGGGAAAGTCAGAAAACAGATTGACTCACTCTTTTGTTCCAAAGCATGAATTTCATTGTTTCATGTACCAGAAATACCCAGCTAACTACTGATGAACACTTTAAATGTTATCCTTTGGCTATTACTGTAGAAAACATTCTTGAACATCTGTTAAACTTTATTCAAACATATCGCTAAGTGAACCTAAAGAAATTGTTTGGCAATGTTACAGTTCAGTCAATTGCATTTCTAATTTTAATGAATATTGACAAATGACATTCTCATAGATTGCATCAATATATAGTCTTTTTTACAATGTATTTACCCTGCAGCAGCAAATAGATAAAAACTTAAACAGTAGTAATAAAAAACGTATATTTCTAGAAACACAATATTCTTTCATCTCTGGCCTATTATTGAAAACTGTCTTTAAACAAAACTAAAACTCCTTTTGGCTTTGCTGAGCAATGTGGATATCCTTTTTCTCAGGCAAAATAATCGTTCCTATTGGCCAGTGTTGTTGGAATTTAGCCAAGATTCATGGCTAGCTGCTTCTTTTGTATAGTCTAATAATAAAATACAATTATTATGCCTTTTCTGTGAAAAATGCAATTAGTGCATTTTTGTTAAATACAAATAACAATTTAACAGCATACAAGGATTACCAAGAAAGTGTTTATAGGAAGCACACACGAAGCAGTCCTGCAGAAGTGCTTGGAATTCTATCACTCTTCCAAATATTCCACTGCCTATTGACATTAAAATAAGAAAAGTAACCTATATGCAGAAAGAAGGTTGTACTCCCATTAACATTCATGAGGGCTGGCAGCTGAAGTCCTACACATTAAGTAGGGAATGTATCTTTTGTCTACTGATGAGAAAATGTCTCAGTGATAAATGGTGTCAGACAGGGGTGTCAGAAGGGCAGCAGCGCACACAACAGCTCCAAGTTTTTTCTTTCTTTCTTTTTTTAAGTCTTCTGTAGCTTTTTTTTTTTTTTTTTTTTTTTTTTTTTTTTTTTTTTAGTAGCATTGTGACCATCAGTGCCTAGTTTCTCAAGTAAAAGACAAATATTGCAATGTAGAATTCCTAAACTTTGCCGAGGCACTTCTTAGAAAGCCATCAACATGCCCCTTGGAGAAAAAAAAAAAAAAAAAAAAACAGAACAATGTTTTGGAGAGTTCATGAGATATAAATATGCACACACTATGAAAAGAAGTGGTTGGCACCCAGCTTCACACCTGGATGAAACCAAAATGGATATTGTAATGAATTAGCATGTCTGTCCAAGGTCACCCAGACTGGGTGACCATCACCAAAAAGCTGCACATTCCTTTACACTCATTCAGTTTGCATTCGTTTGGTGAACATGTGAGAAACATCACAGGAAGACACGAACTTATCTCACAGATTAATTTCTTAGAATCCAACCCTCATTGACATTGATTTTCAGTTAAGTGTGGAAGGAAAGAAAGTTAACTGGTAAGTTACAGAGAACCTCGCCGGCTGCTTTACAAAGCCTGAGAAGGAAGCTGGAGTGAACACATCCCAGGCTGGGCTGCCGATGGCTCAGTCAGTCTCCTCACCTAGAAACACAAGGGCTGACCCCCCCACTCACACCGCAGTACTTTTGCTTCTAAAGAACAATAAGCACAGTGCAATTTTCTAGAATGGGGATGTCAAGGCTGTACTGTTTCAGTGTTCTTCCCCACAGGCAGGGCAAGAAGAAATGCACACTAGCTCTTCAGCTCCGCAGCCCCAGCTCTCTCCCTCCACAGGGAGGGACAAGTCTTTGCCAGTGAACATGGGGCAGAGGCGCACCCTGCAGGTGGCTCCTGATCGCTCAGTCAGTCCGCCTTATAAGACAGTAGAAGGGCGGCGCCAAAGGGGAGGAGTCTTCCCGGGACAGGGCATCAGACCACGCCCCTCGGCGTGGCTCGGAGTCACGGCGCAGGCGTGCTGGGCGTGGTTGGACGCTTGGGGTCCAGGACTCGTTCTTGCGCCCCCGCCCTCCTCCTCCCTCCTCCGCCCGCTCCCGCCTCCGCCCACTCGACGCGATGACGCACCGCAGGTTTGCGGACGTGGCGTCGGCGCACACCCCGGAAGCTGGGGACGTTGGCGGTCGCGGCCATCCCCGTGGTGGACCAGGACAGCCGGACGCTGGGGCTCAGCCATGAATTTGTCCCGGACAGCAGCGGCGGCCTCGAACCTGGTATCCATGTCTTTGCCGCGCCCCCCCTGCTAACGGATCTGGTAAAGATGGCGGCGGGAGGTGGAGTGGGGGGTGGTGGCCGCAGACCCGGCGAGAGCGCCGGGCTGCACCGCAGGTGCGACCTCGCGGGGTCGGCGCTGGGACCCCGGGCCGCCGGGTGGGGGGCATTGCACGTCCCGACGCGAGGGACCTGGGGTAGCTGCCCCGCCGGGCGAGCCCCGACCCGGGGAGGGGCTCCTCCCACCTGCGCGGTTGCGCGCGCCTCCCGTCCTCCCGCCAGCCTCGCTGCGCCCGGCGTCGCCGGTCCTCGCCGGCCGGCGTCTCGCGTGTTGGCGCCCCCGACACGGCACGCCCCCCCCCATCCCCAACCTCCCGCCGCTCCCACCCACCCGTCCGTGCCCCCGCAGCCTGGGGCTGGCTTCCCAGCACCGCCGACGCGCATCTGGACAGGGAGTTTCTCTTTTCCTTGCTGGAGTTGATAAAGGGAGGAAGCCTGGGTCTGTGGGATGGACCCGGAGGGAAGTTGAGTTTCTGAAAGCAGAATCAGTGGGTCCCTCCGGCCCCGGCCCCGCTGGTCCTGTCCCCAGGGCTGAGCTGGCCTTGCTCTCAGACTGTCCCCAGGGCTGAGCTGGCCTTGCCCTGAGACTGTCCTCACCCACGCCTTGCTGGCTGAAGGTCAAGGCCAGCAGCCCGCCGCAGTCATTAAGACAGTCCGAAGGTACTCGGGACACCATTTCTTTTACAGCCAGAGCTGAAGCAAGCTTTCAACAACGCTCCCAAGTGGTAATTAAACTTTCTGGCCACTAGGATTCCTTAACACCCAAAATCTGTTCGGTCTTCTGGCAACTAGTTAAAAAAAAAAAAAGTTTTCTGGAAAGGGGCTGGTCCTTTTCCTGTTCTAAATTCACAGAGTCGGGGAGGGAATCCAGCCAGACAACCGGCATGCTACAGACTCCTGGGATCTCTAGTAGTTTACGCAGGTGATTGTCTGCCTGGCTCGAAGTCTGAATTTTCACTTGGATTACGAACAGCCAATTCTTGACTGTTTGGGGCATGAAAGTCCAGTTTGTGGTACTCAGCTGCTGTCGTTTCTTTACCAAGGAGAGTATTCCTATTGGATAGAGTGAAACAGGACAGGTCTTTTCGCCATATTATTGAGAACGGTTGCTATACATGTAAGTGCTATTTGGGTATTTCTCAAGGAATTTCAGGTTGCGATACTGCGGTAGTTTTGACGTTCCGAGAATATCAGAGGGTAAAAGTCTAAAGACGACCGTGTGACTAGGACAGTATAACCCCTTGTGAATTGTTATGTATTAATTGGTTCTCCACCTTTTTTATTATTATTATTCTGGCTGTCTTTTAAGAATATGAAACAATGAATATTCTTCCTAGAAAATGGGCATATGTATAGCACTTATTAGCCTATGGGTTAATTCACAGGGTTCAGCAGATACTGCTTAAAGACACAGAATAAAAGCACTTAGATAAATATATGAAAGTAGAGTAAATGTACTCATAACTTCAAAACTGCTTTTGAGATGGGGAATGTTGGTGGCTTTCTTGAATTTGGTTAAGTTAGAATGTTAGTTTCTATAATAAATAATGGAGAACCTCAGAAAACACTTTGTATACTTCGTGTATAACTATTAGTTATATTAACTATATCTATCTATCTATCTATATATATATATATATATATATATAAACTGCCATAGAGCAGGGCCAGAAACTTGCTTTTATGGGTGTGATTCTATTATACAGGCCCTTTTTCACCTGATACTTATCCATACTACTATATGAAAAAGGGCCTATATCCATAGTATTCATAACAGAACTGAGTCCTTCTAGACATCATTTGTCTCTTTGGCTTCAATGACATAATACTTCCGTAGTTTCTGCTCTTGTGCACACTCGTTTTCTATGTTTGCAGCAACTTTTATTATCTTCACCCACATAGCTCACTTATCTAGGGGCACTACTTTTTGCTGTCTTAGAGGAATTCACTGCCATAGTCATGAACCTTTCACCCCTCATCCTTCTTTCACTGTTAAATACTTTACCAAAGGGTTTTGCAGTTTTTATTCAGGAATATTAGTATGATCCTTAGCTTCTATCTTTTCTTATTTGAGCCATGTTGGAGTTTGAAGGTTTTTTTTTTTTTTTAATTTTTAAAGTTATCTTTAAGTAGTTGTACAAATGAGTTGTTATTCAAAAATGCAGTTGAAGTTTGAAGCATTTTATCTCCAGCATGTCTTTTACATCTCTCCAAATAACTGAAAGCAGCCCGTCTTTTCTTAATTGGATAATGAATATGAAGTCAAAAATGAATGTGGAATTAGTTTTCTTTTGAAGTTCTTGTGTTTGTTTTTGGTAAGAATAGATGAATTTGAGGAAGGTGAGCTAAAAGTGAGTTTGGGACTAAGTTAGAAGTTAGACCCAAAAGTCACCAACAATGTGTTCAGTCTTCATGAATCACAAATTGAATTTGCTGGGAACTTTAACTTAGATGTAAAGCTTCCTGGGGAATTAAAATCCATGGTTAAGAGCAAACTTAGGATCAACCCAGTATAGAAAATATAAATTCTGAAGTTAACATGAACCAGACAGTATATTATACAAAGACATGTCAGTGTCATGTAAAAACAAGATACTGAACAAGCCAGAAAGTTTTGAATTCAAGAAAGTATATACATACTTTGATTTCATCAGAATTCTAAGTTGTAGTCATAAAATTTCAAGACAAAACACATTTATTTCCCCAATTTACTTCATATACATTTATAGTCAGAATTTAATTTTTTGATCTATGAAAGTGTAGCAATTTAATTCCACAGTGTAATTAAACTGTCAGGCCCATCAGACTGTCTTTTTCTTCCATGTCACTGCCAGATACATTTGTTGTACTTACATAGTTAAAAAACTTGAACCTAAGTTTTTAAATAAATCATTATTTTTTGAAAAAAGGATTTTGTCCTAGTGTTTCAGAATGTATGAAACATGTAAATCAATGGAGGAGATAGATTTCAAAGTTGTTTTTTTTTTTCCCCTCTAGATTTTAACATGGCAGGAAGACATCAGAATCGTATTTCTCTCCCAGCAGTTCAGTCAAGTGCTCAAGTACATGCTTTTGGAAATTGCATAGACAGTGATATGCTAGACGAGGATGCTGAAGTGTACGAGCTTCGATCCAGAGGAAAAGAGAAAGTTCGAAGAAGTACATCAAGAGATAGACTTGATGACATTATTGTGTTAACAAAAGATATACAGGAAGGAGACACTTTAAATGCCATAGCCCTTCAGTACTGTTGCACAGTAAGTGGTTATTTTTCCATGTATATTTCTACAAAGGGGTTTCATGTGATAATTTAGGCGTACATATAATATACTTTGGTTAATTCACCATCTCAGAAGGTAAGTTTTAATTTTACATAAGGTAGTGCATAATAAATTATTTATTAACCAAACCCAAATTGAAATAAATCTTTTCTTCGCTTTTTTTCCTGTGCATAGATATATGTCACATTGATGGATATTAAGTTTTTACTTTTTTAAATGACTTTTTCTGATTTATTTCTAAATCTATTATTTTATCACTTTAATGTATTTATTCCTGTACATTTATTTGGTAGCTTTTGTCTTTTTAAAATTGGCATATACTACTTATATTACTCTTAGAATTTCCATAGTTTATCATCCTTCATAACCTTTTATGTCTAGCTCATTACTTCAAATAGCTGTATAATGTTCATTATGGATATTATGGATATAACAATATTATTAAGCCATTTGTATACTCATGAGTAGTCAAGGTTTTCTTGGTGTTTTATGTTGTTCAGTGACCATCAAAAGTATATTTTAGATGGTGCTACCTTATCATTGTAGGAAGATTCTGGCAAACAGGATTGCTAAATAAAGTGGAAAGAATGTTTTGATTTCAGTAGATCCTAAGGTCTGTTTGACCTATTTTATATGTGTTCATCTTTGGTCCTCAGAATATGTAAACACATTGCTATGATAAGTAGTTAGGAGTCTCATTTTTAAACATTGTTCTCATATTACAATCCAATAATATCTGGGGCTTATCTTCTATATTTACCTCCTTTTTATTTTTAACCACCTTGTTCTGGAGTTTGAAATCAAGCCCTCACACTTACATAGGAATGTACCACTTGAGCCACCAGCTTTACTTATTTTCCAGATAGGTTTCAAAATTTTGCCCGGGGTCATCTTCAGACCATGATTATTATATTTTTGCCTGCTGTGTAGCAGAAACTGTACATACCTGTGTTATTGAGATGAAGTCTTGCTAACTTTTTGCCTGAGCTAGCCACTTGAACTGTGATCCTCCCTATCTCTCCCTACTGTACAGCTGGTATTATAGGTGTGAGCCACCACAGCTGGCCTAAACAGAATGTTCTGAAATTACACATACAACCACCTGTTGTTCATTTTTTAAATGAACTTCTTAAATTCTTCTAATGACTTATAATAGTTACAAAGGAGATATTTCCTAGAATATTGTCAATATTGACATTTTAAAAATAAGACATTAGAATATTCTTTTAAGTATAAATTCTAAATACCATCAGGATTTTCTACCTGAACTCTTTATAATGCACACATAGATATATACGAGAACTTTAATATTGTGAAATCAGTATTCACCTTTTAATATTTTTATCCCCAGAATTTTTTATAATGTAAAATGCTTTTATACCTGACAAATGGTTTACTGCTTGTCTCATATTACTCTGCAATAGGAACACATACATTTATAAATGTCTGCATGTATATGTTTGTATAACTTATCAAAACAAATGTATTGCAAACTTTGATTTGAAAATTTAATGAACTAAAGATATTTTAATGTTTCAATATTTGAAATGCATTTTTTGATGATGAAGGGCTAGTACTTGTTTTTCTTCCCTAACTTGTTCATATATGGTAACACTATTCTTGTAATTAAATCAGAAAATATCTGATTTCATTTTTTAGGACAAATATACCTGTAAGTAAGCGTTTCGTAGAGAAATAAGTGTCTGAATGTATCTTAGAAGGTTAGAAAGCCAACATTAAAATTGATGTAGATCTGAGAGAAAAGTGGTGCAGTAGCTTTATTGGAGAATGTCTTTAGTTTTCCTTAAATGAGCCTGGAAAGTTGGGTGCTGGTGGCTCAGGCCATCAGTTCTGTAATCAGGACACTGAGATCAGAGGATCAGGCGTGGTTCAAAGCCAGCCTGAGCAGAAAAATCCATCAGTCTCTTACCTTCAGTTAACCATCAAAAAAACCAACCAAACAAAAAAAGCCAGAAGTGGAGCTGTGGCGGTGGTAGTGTGCTAGCCTTGAACACAAAAGCCCAGGAATAGTGCCCCAGGCCCTAACTTTAAGCCCAAAGATCAAAACAAAAAAAGAGAGAAAAGAAAAAAAGAACCAGAAAATTCCTCTTAGGAAAATTTGAAATGCCACTCAAGAATTGAATATAGATTGTGTTTCCAATGAGGCAAAATAAGAGTGTTTTGGCATTTGACAGTGGTGTGTAGATTTTGAGGAGAGAGAATGAATAATAGGTGTTTCGTTAGGTATTTCAGTAATGAGTAGAGAGATTATTGGAATAATTCAAATAAAGATAATCAAGATTTGGAGTAAAATAACTGGTAAGAACGGAGAAGATAGCAATAGAAAGTGTATTTTGTGAAAAAAAATCACAGGATGTATTAATGTGATTTATTATTTGAAAGGAAGAATGTTTAGCCATATGGTACATGTAATCCCAGCTACTCAGGAGGTGCATACTGGAGGATCTCAATCAAGTATTAGGCTAGTCCATGCAGAAGAGTAGATTGTATTTCAAAAACAAAACAAAAACAAAAGGGCTGAGTGCAGCTCAAGTGTTAAACTGCTTGCGAGTCGCAGTTCTCAGTACTGGATGAATACAATAAAAGGAAGAAAGATGAAAGCTGATTAATTTAACATTAGAGGATAGATGGCATTTGGGAAAGTTGATTGCAGTGAATTAGCAAATTAAGATAAATAATGCTACTTATGATGGGAGCTTCACTATCAAAGAAATACTAAGCTTATCAAAGGACTTTTAATTTTAAGATTACAGTAAGTAGTGTTATCTTTCATGATTGTCTTAAGAATTATTTAAAACAGACCATTTATAAAGCAGTAATGAGAGGAATACATAATTCAGGATTGAAATCCTAAATGTAATCAAGGCAGGTTTGCATAACAAAACATTATTACATATACTCAGATGAACCTAGATAGATGCTAGAGTCTTGAGCAGTTACTAGTTAGAGTGTAATAACAAGTAAAAGAGCATTTTACTGGTGTTTTGTTAATGAATCTTCATTTACTTTAAAACAATGCAGTCCCTAACATGACAGAGCACCCTATCTTTACTGTCTCATCCACTTATTCTTCTGCTTTCTTCCCCTACTGCTCTGTACATCTTTCCAACGTGACTCTACATCCTCGCAGCACTGAGTATACTGTCCTCTATTCCTTCCTAAAAATGGTCTGATGCTGCAGGTTTTTTATTTTTCTACTAATATTTAGTAACAGCTGACATACTATAGGTCACTGCTTATGTTCTTCGTAACATTTACATCAACCCTATAAAGTAGTAGTATTACTGACATACTTCCCTCCCACCTCCTGCAAGAGTATCATGCTTTAAACCCAGATATCCATGCTTTTAATCACCAAAGGATACTGCCTTGCTGTCCACTTCTTTTTTCACTCTCCTCTGTGTATTTCTCTTACTCAACATAACTCTCAGATTTTAGCATTTCTTAGGGATCTTTCCATGCACTTTTTTCTCCCATCCTTTTTTCTAGAGAATCCATCCAATTGTGAGAGCATTCTGAGTTTCAGATGTATCTATTCTACTGTTTACTGAACATCTTTTACTTGTATGTCTCAAGCACCTCAAAGCCAATGTAATTGTATTCTTTCTTAGTCTCTAGTGTTCTGTAATGTAGTTAGCAGCATCTCATTCAGGGATTTGACCAAACTAGAAATCTTAAATTCCATTCTAGACTCACTTTACCTCTCAGCTGTCATTTGGGTGATACATGTTCCAAGCATAGATTGATTAAAGGATTAATTGGAATGACAGATGGGGCCAATAACTTAAAGGCAGTGAGATAGTACGGTATACCAATTGCTAATCTGAGAGGCATTCCTCTCTTCCTCATCACAAAATAATCAGTGGAGGATTGTAAAATACATATAGGGAAAGCAGATGGCTGGTCTTGGAGGTAGTTGGATAAAGCTTTTACTCGGAGGGGTTTAGGAAAAAAGCAGTTTTGAAGATGAGTGAGAAGAGGAAAGTTGGTATATTTTATTCCAAGATATATGTTTTCACACACCTTTTAACATATTTGAAAATACAATGATGACATTTTCATTGATCTTGGTATTATATTTTCCCTTTAGACATAGGTAAAATAATAGTTCATCTTAGAGTTGATGGCATCTTAGTTTTGACATAATACATACTTTTAATTGGGTAAGTGAACACTTGTCTATTCTCCAATTGCCAAATTGGAATAAATATAAATATCTGTAATTCTTCACATCAGAACTGTGGTATTTATGCATGGTGTACATAGATAAACAGAAAAATATACTAGAATATACTTCAGTAGTTTTTAAGTAGTTGATTTCCTGAGATTGGTAGGGCAAAAGTATTTTAAAATTCATATCTTACAAGGAAAATTAAAATCTCTGGATATGGTAACTTAACATTGCCAAGAATTAAGCTTGTTTGGTATCCCCTATCCAGTTCAGTCTCTCCCTGTCCCCAGTCTCTTCTTAAAAAGTTAAGTAGATGAATGACAGTTGTTGCCTACTGTTTGCCTTACAATTCAGTTGATTGCTGTTTTTCCTTTTTTTACAGGTAGCAGATATAAAGAGAGTAAACAATCTCATCAGTGATCAAGATTTCTTTGCCCTTAGGTCTATCAAAATTCCAGTTAAGAAGTTTAGTTCATTGACTGAAACATTGTATACTCCAAAAGGAAGACAGGCTTCCCGTCCTTATGTTCAATATGCTCCTGAACCACAGGAAATTTTGCCAGCTGATTCTCTCTCTTCCAGTGACTCAGCTGGTAGCTTTTTAAAAGAAGTAGACCGAGACATAGAACAAATAGTGAAGTGTACAGACACCAAGAAAGAGAACCTTAATGAGGTAGTATCTGCTTTGACAGCACAACAAGTCCGTTTTGAACGTGATAACAAAACCACACAACGCAAGGATCCCTACTATGGAGCAGATTGGGGAATAGGTTGGTGGACAGCTGTAGTGATAATGTTGATAGTTGGTATTATAACACCAGTATTTTACTTGCTGTACTATGAAATTTTAGCTAAAGTAGATGTTAGTCATCATTCAACGGTGGACTCTTCTTCACATTTGCATTCTGCAGTCACACCTCCATCACAGGATAGGGAAATGGAAAAGGTAATTGTTCCAACCAAAGAAGTACATATTGACCAACAAGACGACCATAAACTGTATAGTCAAGATTCTCAGTTGCCTGTTGCTCAACACAAAACATAGCACTTAGCTCACAATCACTGTGTTAATGATCACATACATCTGGAATGTGTTGAATCAGTTATACCCAGTAACCACTTCAGATGCAAAATTTGGGGAGATTGAGGTGCTTTTCTTACCTTCCTAAAACTTTTGAGCCATTTAAAAGGACTGTGTTATCAAATTGCTACAGTTGAAATTTCTTTTAGTGAGCAGGCAGTCCATCTGTTAATAAGAACTTAAAATATGAATTTAAATGTGTTTAGGAAATTCTTGGAATATTGTATCAGTTTCATTACTCAAGACTACTTATGTTTAAGTTTTATCTTTTAAGTCATTATTTTGGATTAAGTTTGTGTTACATTTGTGAAATATAATGATAGTCTCTGATGTCTGCAGCTAAAGAAAATTATCTACTGTGACCCACCAAAAAATTTAGTTGCCAAAACTATGATTCTAAAATTATTTGATAGCAAGTAAAAACTCATATTTGAAATTTTAAAAACATACTTCTGTAGCATATGTACTATGAAATCATAAATAGAAACAAATGGAAACATAATGTCTAATTTATGTAACAAGAAACTAGGACATTGATTAAATATTTTGAAGGCCCCAAAATACTGTGCTGTGGTTGGCAGTTGCCATTTGGTGATAAGAACACTGGAATAGGTAAGATCTAAAAATTTTTTGTCTCTTAAAAAATGCTTTAAGACAGACTTTTTAACCTCATCTGTTTCTGTTTTAAAATAATACTTGTCTCTGGTATTTCAAAGTACTTTGTTAGTTCCTTGGTGAAAAGTGACATACATACACAGATTAGCATTCTTACATACTGTGATAAAGCCTTAATTATATTTAATGCCTTATATTAGTTTATGTAAGTTTATAACCACTTTAAAATGAAAAATAAGAGTTAGATGGTCCAATCAGATTCATAGGCGGTCCGTCATTACATAAAGCTGTGTAAATTTATCTCTACTTTCTCTAGAAAGCACAAGTTAATGGGGTTTCTGCCTCTGGTGTCTGGCAGGAAATATTAACATTTTTTCCCCTAATTAACAGTGTAAAACTGAGGAATACAGATGAGAAGTGTAAAGATAGAATGAATACTTCGTAGTTTTGTGGATCAGCCACAGTCTGGCTAAATAAGAATTTGTATACAGGTTCCCTCTTTTTTTAAATGTGTGTTTTTAAAATATAGCTAAAGTGATTCAAAATGAGATTTGATGAGTCTGGATTGCCTGTTTTTGCATAATAAAGTATACCTTAAGATATATAATGCCATCTCATTTTCTGGGCATTATATCCTAACATTTAATGTTTCTCCCTTTTGATCAGTCCTTTTATATCTCAACTGCCAATTTTTATACAGTTATGTGCATAAATATTTATGGTAATTAGGGTTTATATACTTTCAAGAGGAAAGCCCGGGAAAGGAACAGGAGAAAGAAATTACTTTTAATATCTGGTATGTATCAGAAAATTACCAAAAAAGTGTTTAGTAAGAAATTTTAATGAGTCAATCCTTTCAGTAAAGCTTTTAGTTAAAATAATTTGTTTTAATGTGCCTTGGGTATCTTCGATGTGGAGCGTTATCTTTATACTCAATGTTAACTGGCCAGTTTACGTTCTATTTATTAAGCCTGCTGAAAAATTAAGTCTTAAGGTAGAAAGACAAGATTATTTTGGGGTGGATCAGGCTAGCTGTCATTTGAAGAACTTCCTTTACAACAAATTGATTAGAGTCTGATTCCTTTTGGCTCATTTTACTTTGTCACAACTGTGTGGTTACTTCTTTTTAAAATCAGAGGGTGTTCATCTGTCTTACAGAGTGTCCTTTTTGAAGGAAATGTAGCATTTATACTTTATGAAACAATAGTTTTTTCTCTTTTAATTAAATATTTTGATCAGTTGAATATAATCCAAAATATTCTATATGCAGAACTGTAGTTGAATCTTTTTTAAAAAGGAAATTAAGCATTTAGTCGATTTAGAATTTTAGTTTTCAAAACATATTACTGAGTACACATTAAATTTGTAACAAATGCAAATTATATTGTATACCCAAGTAATTTTTAAGTACACTTTAATTGTGTTGAAATCCTCATTTGAATTGACTTGGAAGCTATACATTAGTTTTTACATGTGTATTTTTTTCCTAAATGTAATTTATAAAACTTAATCACTGCATTTGGTTCATCTAAACATTTAAAGTTGCAAGTGAAGAAGAAATTGGTATTTTGGGACCAAGTTCTTTTTTTGTTGTTGTTAATTTTAAGTCTGAGTAGATGTGACTAAGGTTGTTTTGAATTATTGAATGGCCACTAAAATTTTTGCTCTCTTCTAGGAAAAAGAAATATGTCCTGCTGGCCATAAGAATTAGAAAGAAGGCTGTAATGTCATCTGGAAATAATCTCCAGATGACTTGATTTTTAAAGTCATTCTTTTTGGGGGGCTCTACCTGATTTTTTAATGTCATAAAAAGTTCTTTAAATGAACCACTAGTTAGTGGTTCTTTTTAAAAAGATTACTTTTAAGATGACCTAGTTGGAAATATGAAGGATATAGTAATATCATGAAGCAAAGATCCAGTATAGATAAAAGTGTTACAGGGTAAAGGTGTAATTTTTAAAATCTATATTTAACTGGTGCATTATGGGAGTCATTCTCACTTTGAATTACAGCAATTTTGCTCAGGAAATCAGTATTTTTCTTCTAAGTATGTGCATATTGCACTGATAGATCACAGAAATAAATGAATGCCTTATTTAAATAATTTTATGTATGCAAAAGCTATAAACCTTTTCTATAATGTATTTTATATCGTAAAATGTAAGAGAACATTATGGTAGCATATACAACTGTAAAAAATAGTTTTAAAACTTTTTGCCCCCATTGTTTTTCATATTTTAAAAGATATGCAAAACGTAATAAAGGTTTCTATTTTATTATTTAATCTGGAATGCAACCTGGTGAATTTAATTAAATAAGGCAAACCTCTTCTGCTCTACTTTCAGACTGTTCTAAATACAGAGATACTGGGTAAAATACATCCAGTTACCAAGGTTTACAAATTCCATTTCCTACTTGTTACATTGAGACAAAATTCAGTCCATTATAGGATATGTCTTTGGAGCCTCTTCCACAGGAAAGACTTAGTGAAGTATGTTTTCCAAGTTACTTATTAAAGCTCTGGATCTGTCATATGAAATACTCTATCTGTGCATTTTATTGTAACAAAAAGTTCTTCAAGAATATTATTATTTTACAATTTACATACAAGCAGAAAGAAGTAAGAAAATTACTTAAGAACTTTTATTTAACAGGAAATCGTATTAGTTATTCCATGTATCTTATCTTTTTCCATATTTAAAAGCATGTTGATCTTAAGGTTGTGTTTACAGCCTTTTTAAGTAAATTTTTACCACAGAAACAAATAACCATATGAAAACAAAGCCATTGACATTGTTCACTTGAAGGGAAATATCAACAAGAAACCTCCAAATGTTTTAGTATTTTCTGATAACTTTAATCCAAGAAACCAATTATCAGGTTTATTATCTATTCTCTATTATCTGTTACCTTAGTTTGTTACTCTTAATTGGTTTTCCTAATCATATACTCAGTTTTCTTTTGTCCGTGGTAGTGATTTAAGAAAATATTTGTATAGGCATCCTTGTTTATAAATAGTTACTTTAACTAGTTTTTCTCCCAAATGAAAATTAAAAGGCAGCTACTCAGAAGGCTGAGAAAAGTCTGATTAACCAGAAGAAGCTGGAAGCAGACATGTTACTCAAGAGGTAGAGTGCTAACCTGGAGCAAAAAAACAATCATGTTCAGCATAAAAGTATCAATAGTAAATAGACATTTATTTTGTAAGAATTTAATGTGTAAACAAATACAGAATAATAATATAACATTCAGTTTTGGTTGTTACAAAGACATTTCAAAGAATCCTTTTAAACGATAGTAGGAAGCTATTTCTGCAAAGTGATGTTTGCCTCCCTATTGAGTAACTTCACAGTTTCAGATCGTAAGCCCTCAAACCAAGATAATGTAATCTGGAAAGCCTCACAATGAGTAGGTTTTAAAATTGTAATATCTTTCAAGGGGGAAAAGAAATGTGCTTGCTTAAGAAGAAATGGTAGAGCTGGGTGCCTATGGCTCCTAGCTTCTTAGAAGGCTAAGATCTGATGGCGGTTTAAAGCCAGCCCAGGCAGGAAAGTCCATGGGACTCTTAACCTCTAACTAACCATCAAAAAGCTAGAAATAGAGCTTTGTCTCAAAGTGGTAGAGCACTAGCCTTGAACACAAAAGCTCAGGGACAGCATCTAGGCTCTGATTAAAAGCCACAGGACTGACATCCACACCCCACTCCCACACTCAGATGATTGAGGCCTCCCAGAGTAAACGGCTATCCTACACCCTACAGGACTACACCAGTCCAGTGAAGACTGCAAACTAGAGAAAAAACTTTACTGTATTTGCCTCATTCAAAGGTTACCAATATCAAGATTTATTGTACTTAACAAACTGACATAATGAAACCCCTTTGTACAACTACATACAGATACATTTCTTGTTATGAATAAAACACAAACTAAAGGTTACCTATAGAACTGTAATAAAGCAAACGAACAAAATCATAAAAGGTAAGATTTCTTTTGACTAAATGGTATTTGGCTCTTGTTCCAAAGGAGGTAAAGAGAATGAGATACCTATGTTAAATATTTCCAAATGACAACTTTGTCATTATTATGGGAAACTCTTCGTGAGGTCTCTAACATATTACAACTTTAATAAGACTTAATCAGATTTCCCTGTAGAACCTTAATTTTTGTATAAGTTCCTTCAAGCAAAAAGTCATATGCATGATCAGTACAGCACTAAACAAGATGGGATCTTAAAACCACCTTGAATTATTTGAGGAAGTATATTGCATTCAAAGTGATTTTTTTCCTGAGCATTATAAAATTGTATGAGACAATACAAATTGTCTCCACAAATACAAAATGGGAAAAATCCATAAACATACTTTATGAGGAAAACATTTGTTTCTCAACATTGTTTTGTTACCTTTTAAGAGTGTGTGTGTCTGTGTGTAATCTGGTTAGTATTTAAACAATTTTTATAAGGAATTTTACAAATGAAGAAACTAAGGCACAGAAACAACCAAGCACAGTTTCAAGGTTGAATTTAGTATTATAGGTAAAAAGATAATGAAGGGTTCCAGTTCTCTTCTCAGTTAGAAAGTAATGGCTGATAGACCTTCCAGTGGTAAAAGTAAATTTAACTTTCTTTTGGTAATACTAGCAAATCATTTTTTGAAGTATATAACAAAAACTTCCTTGACTATATGAAGTTCCTTGAAAATCTTTGGCATTTTAAAGTCTTTGGAGGCTGAGGTGTCTGACATTTTCCCCCCCAAAATATAAAATAGCAGAGAAACTAGCTTGTAACTTAAAAAAGATCAGTCTTCATTTTGAAATGACCTGAGCTCATTCTGCATTGTTATATCAACAATGAATCCTGTGAAACATAATATGGGCCTCTTCACCAAGTTCACATGCAAACATTCTCCTGTGAAGTTCATACTTTAAAATCTTATTTTCCAACCAGTACTTTCCTGTCCACACACATAAAAGAACAGAATTAAATAGGATATAGTCTAACCTTTTATAAGCCCAATGATTTGCAGATGTCAAAGTTACTACAGTGAGACCATTAATGCATATATTGTAGGACCCAAAGTTCTTCCCAAAGTCAAGTATGTCTAAAATGCACCCCATGTGAAAACCTCTGTGCTCACTGAGATGGTAACTGGGAAATTGTTTATCTCAAGTTGATATGTTTCCATGAATTTGTTTGCTATCACAAAACCTCTCATTTCCTAGGTGTGTAGGAAGAGCTTGGTGGGTTTATGTAGTATGACTCACTGTACTAATATAGAACATACCATGTAAAAGTAAAAAATAATTTTCAAGTTTCTATGTTTTTAAAGTGCTCTGTGTGCTGAATTAGTAGAAATCCATTCTGAGTAGTAACTTTACAAAAATATCAGCAGTTAATGGCTTTGTTCAAATATGAACACAGATAAAGAGATGTTAAAACTAAGAATGCATTAGCATACATAAAGATGGCAGAGGTGTTCAGGAGGAATGTCAGGATGCCAGACAATAAGGTATCTTGAGCATAAACAGTGATTCTACATGTTTTGATATTTGTCAGTTAAAACAGGAACACAAATAAGATATATAACTCATTCCTTATCAGAGATAAAACACAAATCAAGTTTCAAAGGCTTTTGAGATGTTTCTTGACTAATAGGTTGCTTCATCCATGTTGTCATCACTGTCTGCACCAAAATCATCTCCATTATCAAAGTAGGAGTTAATGTAGTCATTTTCCTAAGTGATAAGATACATTTCTTAGTAAATAATGAGAAAAATTACTTCTAGAAAACACATTGTAGATTGCCCCATAATGTAGAAAAGCCAAATTTTACTCTCGAGAATGCTTATCAAATCCTCAATTCAATGGGAAGTTATCACAAAATTTCAACTAATTACTAAAGCGGGCACAGAGACTAAATCTAGAAAGGCTTTACTTTAATGGAACTCCATTTCTATTCCTCGCTCCTCCTCAAACTCAAAACATACCTCATTTCTCTAATAGGCTAGAGAGGATTTTTATTTTTAAATCAAGTGTAGTTTATATATAAATCCACTGATTTAAGCCCACTGTCTTGAACGTTACTTTGCTCGAGTTCCTCACCTACTAGAATTCCCAGTTTATAGTGCTTTTGTGATAGAAAAATCTTGATTTCAACAAAGATATGTCCAGACTCAAGTAGAGTTAAATATTCTGTCAATAGAATATTCCTAAAACAAGTTTATCTTAGAATACTGGCTGCTAGAACCTAGCAGCATCAGCCCATCAGTGTAATCAATGGGAGTCTTAATAGTTGATAAAGGAATCTTAAAAAGGAAAGTAAATCATTGAACAAATTATTAGCTGGCAAGTCATTTAGAAACAGATAAAAATGGATCCACAACCCTCTCTTTTTTTTTTCCTATGGTGGGGTCTGAACTCAGCCTGGGTGCTGTCCCTCAGCTCTTTCGCTCAAGGCCTAGTGCTCTACCATTTAAGCCACAGAGTCACTTCCCACTTTTTCTGCTTATGTGGTGCTGAGGAATCGAACCCAAGGCCTCAGGCATGCAAGGCAAGCACTCTACCACTAAGCCACCTTTCCAGCCCCCA